TTGTGTGTTCACTGTAGGTAGGTAATTGCTGCTGATGTCTCAGCTTCGTCTGCCTACTGAAAGGAAGAAAGAACATTATTTTTAAATCCCAAAATATACCCATTCAAAACAAGCTCGACTCTAACATCACAGGAAAGCATGAAAAACTTGGTAAAGTATTTATAAATTTCTGTGATAAAATGATGTACAAATGCATTTCAGAGCTCAGCGAAAAATCCCGACAAAGATAATTTTGGCAAAGCATGATCTCCGGATTTATTAATCTCCTCATATATATATATATATATATGTGTGTGTGTGTGTGTGTGTGTGTGTGTGTGTGTGTGTGTGTGTGTATGTGTGTGTGGAGGTCTGTGTGTGTGTGTGAGGTCTGTGTGTGTGTGTGAGTCTTTCTGTGTGTGTGTGTGTGTGTGTGTGTGTGTGTGTGTGTGTGTGTGTGTGTGTGTGTGTGTGTCTGTGTGTGTGTGTCTGTGTTTGTGAGAGTTTAGAAAAAAATGCCGATATGTGTATTCTTGCCTCAGGAAACAGACAGAAAATGAACAGAAAATGATAGAGAAAATTACCTAACCTCAGCTTACAAAAATATTTGTCGCGCAAAAATAGCAGAACCTAGAAATCGTTCCTTGCGGTGCTTCCATAGGCGATTGTATATTGCCAGCCTCTGGGACAAATAAATTTCAAGCTGTGTTTTTCAATAAATACCTACACTCAAATCAAACATATCTAAGTCTAGATTCCACAAATGCATTCAATCGTGAAAAATAACTGATTTGTTGCTGTTATGTGCAACTTTGCTATGTTCGCCATGCAGTTACATCGCTTGTCAGCGGCAAATACGATTTCGAAGATGGAGGCAATTGGGAATGGCCGCTGTAAAAGAGAGGCGGGACTCATGCATACGAATCGGCGTACAATGTGGACAAAAGGCGAACATTCAGATATGAATTAGGCTCAGGAATAGAAAAAAAAGAATGAAAATTTAAGATATGGGCAGAAAACTAAGATTTCAATATAATTTCTCATGTTTTTATATACGATAAATTCTGCGGATTTTTCTGGTGTATACATCTATCTAATACTGTTACTTTCTTTCTATCTATCTATCTGTCTATCTATCTATCTATCTATCTATCTATCTCAGTCTGTTGATATCTATCTATCTATCTATCTATCTATGAATGTATCTACTTCAGTGTGTTGATAGCTATCTATCTAACTCAGTCTGTTGATATCTGTCAATCTACCTCTGTTGATATTCTGTTTTCTATCTATCTATCTATCTATCTATCTATCTATCTATCTATCTATCTCAGTCTGTTGATATCTATCTCAGTCTGTTGATATCTATCTATCTATCTATCATTAATCTATCTATCTATCTATCTATCTATCTATCTATCTATCTATCCAATTACTTTTGCATCTATCTATCCCAGTATGTTCGCATCTATCTATCTATCTATCTATCTATCTATCTATCTATCTATCTATTCATCTATCTATCTATCTATCTATCTATCTGTTGTGCCGTAGTACCTATTCTTTGGTAATGGACTCTCCCATAGATAATAAGTAGCAGTGGCCAGTCTGCAGGAACGGTGTTGAGAACGTCAGTCGAGATTCGGACATTTGAAGTACCAACCATCACAACTAGATTTGCTGCGTCATTGACTATTGTTTCCCAAGTTCCTAACGTTTTGTACGACTTATTAGAAATACAAGTCTCCACTGTGAAAATACTCCACAACACTATCTATCTATCTATCTATCTATCTATCTATCTATCTATCTATATATATATATATATATCTATCTATCTATCTATCTATCTATCTATCTCAGTCTGTTCATATCTATCTATCTATCTATTTATTTATCTATCTATCTATCTATCTATCTATGTTCATATTTATCAATCTCTCTTCTTCATGTATTCGGGTAGCAATCCCTTTTTTATACAGGTTTCATTGAAGATGAATGACAAGGCGCTGTGATTAAGCCTGTTATGGTATTTTTCTTTCTTTTGTACAAGTTTTTTTTTCTGGGCATACACTGTGTAAAACTGTCCAAATGATGAGTGTTTTTGATCACTTTCGGCTACTCTGTTAGCCATTATGAATGTCATTGCTTTTGTTTAACTAAATCAATATGTAATTTTTTTTTTTTTTTTTATACAGCAATGAAAATGTTTAATTTCCGATTCCGGCTGTGTTTATAACTGATATTATTAACAGTTGTTTCTTTTATTGTTAATGCTTCTATTATTTTTAACTGTTTCTGCATTTAGATGGTTGTATTATGTTGGGGTTACATACGTTTATGTTGCAAATAGAGGTTGATAGGGCTCCTTATGATGTTAAATCGATCCGAATGGAGCTGTGATCCGAGAGATGCAAAGTAAATCTTCTTGATAGGCATGTGCTTAATATTTATGCATTTTTTGCCTCAGTAACGCATAAATATCGTAGTCTCATAATACTCATCAATGTATCTAGCTACCGAGCTAGCTGGCTGGTATGGTAGTATCTTGATATGTATTTATTTAAATCATTTTGTTCATATCTATATCTATCTATCTATCTATCTATCTATCTATCTATCTATCTATCTATCTATCTATATATATATATATATATATATATATATATATATATATATATATATATTATATTTAAATATATTTTTGTAGGTACAAAAGTTTAATGATCGAAATAAAAGTGTAAAATTTAATATTACAAGACATATTAAAACAATATTAAATAATAAAAAAACTCAAACTCAAACTTGTTGTTGAGTTTTTATTAATTTGTTTAATCATATATATATATATATATATATATATATATATATATATATATATATATTCTTATATTTATATCGATATATCACTCTATCGAATCTATTTCTTTCTATCTATCTATCTATCTCGATAATTATATATATATATATATATATATATATATATATATATATATATATATATATATATATATATATATATATATATATATATATATATATATATATATATACATGAATCTATTCTATATATCTATCTGTCTTTCGCAATGTATTAATATCTTTTTTTAATATTCTTATTTATGTATCCACCAGTCTATCGCAGATAACGTCTTAAGAAAGCTAAACGTAATGGCAAATTACAAATAATAATACGCCTATCTTTCTTTCCCATTCAGCACCTCTCTCTCTCTCTCTCTCTCTCTCTCTATATATATATATATATATATATATATATATATATATATATATATATATATATATATATATATATATATATATATATGGACATTTAAAGGCAATATGAATGCATGGCGCGTCGTTACTTGGGTTGTCGATTGCTTTATACTGATGGAAATATGGCGTTATCTTTGCTGTTTATTCCCAGGACAATTTGCAGGATGCTGCCTTCTTTGCTCAGGGGATAGTTTCGTTCAAATTAGTGCAAATCGAAAGTTAGGATTCGAAGAAATTAGGGCATTGGGATTGAAAGCCACTCCAAATAGTCGATCGAAAAGAGGGCGCTTCTTTGTGGAGAGGGAAAAATCGTATGCCTTCAATTCGGCTGAAATATGGCAGGAAAATTAACGGTTGAACACAGATCGGACAGGAATCGTATGAAACCTGTAGAAGGCGAGAAAATGGAACAAATTAAAGACCTGCATGAAAAAATAAAGAAGAAAGGATGAAGGCTTTTAAAAGGACCAAAATGTCTGAATGAATGAAAATTGGTGAATGGCAGCTGAAAAAAGATATTGGGATGTAACAAAAATAGGAACGGATAAAGAAAAGAAAATGAAAGAAGAAAGGAGAGAATAAATGTTAGGAAATAAGAAGATAAAAAAGAAGAGAAGAAAAATTGAAAAATGAAAAGAAGAGAAAATTTGGAAAGAATAATAGAATTAGAAAAACATTAAATAGAAATAAATATAATGGTTAAAAAAGAAGAAAGGATGTAAAGCTAACGTGACGAAAATTGAAGCATGTAAAAGAAGGTCATTGAAAAAAAAAATAAGATAAAGTATAAATTATAGAGAATATAGGAATGAAACATAGAAAGAAAGAAACAATTCGAAATAAAGAAAGAAAGATACTAACAAACAAGAAAAGAAATGGAAATAAAAATAAAAAGAAAGAAATAAAGAAGAAAAAAAAAGAAGTTGAAATACTAAATAGAAAGAAAGAAGGAATAAAATGGAAATAATATGCACAAGGAAAATACGAAAGATGAAAAGAAAAACTGCAAAAAAGAATAAAAGAAAGAAACCAACAAATAAATGAAAGAAAGGAAAGAAGAAAGAAAAAATACAGGTAAATTAAGAAAAAAGGAAGGAAAGACAGAAAGAGAGAAAAAAAGAAACCAATAAAACAAGAAAGAAAGAAATAAACAAATATGAAAGAACGAAAAGAAAGAAAGAAACAAATGATGAATATAGGGAAATTAAGAAGGTAAACAAAGACCGAACGAAAGAAATAAAGACAGAAGAAAAGCAGGAAATCAAAAGAACGAAAAAAGAAAGAAACAAAAAACAATGGAAATAACAAATACAAAGAAAGAAAGAAAGAAAGAAAGAAAGATGAAAGGAAAAAGTAAGAAAAAAGTTGAAATATTAAAAAGAAAGAAAGAAAGAAAGAAAGAAAGAAAGAAAGAAAGAAAGAAAGTAATAAAAAGAAATGGAATAAAAAATAAAAAGAAAGAAATAAATAAAAAGAAAATAAGAAATACTGAAGAAAGAAAGAAATAAAATTAAGAAATAAAAGAATAGAAAAAGAAAAAAAGAAAGAAAGAAAGAACAGAAATAAAAAATGGGAAGTAATATACACAGGGAAAAATATGAAAGAAGGAAAGAAAGACGACTGGAAAGAATTAAAGAAAGAAACCAACAAATAAATGAAAGAAAGAAAGAAAGAAAGAAAGGAAAAAGAAGAAGAAGAAGAAGAAGAAGAAGAAGAAGAAGAAGAAGAAGAAGAAAGAATACAAGTTAATTAAGAAAGAAGGAAGGAAAGACGAAAAGACAGAAAAAAGTAACCAATAAAACAAGAAAGGAAGAACAGAAAAAGCAAGAAAGAAAGAACAAAAAAGTAAAGAAAGAAAGAAAGAAAGAAAGAAAGAAAGAAAAGAGAAATGAGGAATGCAGGGAAATTAAGAAGGTAAACAAAGAGCGAACGAAAGAAATAAAGAAAGAAAAAAATGAAGAAAAAAGAAGGAAAGACAAAAATACGATAAAGGAAAGAAGAAAGCACCAAAAATTGGAAATAATAAATGAAAAGAAAGAAAGAAAGAAAAAAGAAAGAAAGAAAGAAAGAAAGAAAAAAGGAGGAATAAAATGGAAATAATAAATAAAGGGGAAAATACGAAGAAGGAAAGAAAGACGGGAGGAAAGAATAAAAGAATGAAACCAACTAAAGAAATAAAGAATGAAAGAAAGAACAAAGAAATGATTAGAGGGAAAATAAGAACGTAAAGAAAGAAAGAAAGAAAGAAAGAAAGAAATGAAAGAAAGAAAGAAATGAAAGAAAGAATATGAGTTAATTAAGAAAAATGAAAAGAAAAACAGAAAGAAAGAAAGAAAGAAACCAATAAAACAAGAAAGAATGAAATAAAGGAAAAAGAAATAATGAATACAGGAGAAATTAAGAAAGAAAGTAAGAAAAAAAAAAGAAAGAAAAGGAAGGGACGAAAGAAAGAAAGGTAGAATCAGCTCCCTAAAAATATTTGATTTGGAACCCAGATGATCCATTCATTTGGGGCCTGCCTTGTACAAGCGCATCTATCTCAATTCAAAATGCTGTAAGCATGGATATGTCTGTGGCGTAATGGATAATGGCTCGGAATTCTTAATTGGAGAGTAGGGGTCTAGTTTCAGTTTGTTCCCTTATATTCACTTACGTGCAAATAGCATTGGGAACGGTATGAATCCATCTTTTCTCCCGCAGCTATCGGTAAATTAGTAAAACCTGTATCAGTAAATAATTTTTATTAGCCCTAGCCCTAAAAATAATCTAAAAATAATTCATGGCTTTGCATAGCCTACAATATGTTGATAAGCCATAGAAAAAGAATCCATCAATCAATCCAACTCGTTCGCAGCTATGGGTAAATATGGACAGACTGGGTTCTATAGCCTTGGATGGCAAATGGTCTAGGAGAAGGACAACTTTGAATTCAAAACCTGCGAAGGGTCGTTTGGGGACCTTGTGGCAATTAGTGCACCAGGTCTCTGAATTCGGCCCTTCAAAAAGTGTGGCTGTTCTTGCACGAAACCTTCACCATTGTTGTTTTCATGGGGTGGCAACCATCTGTTAACTTTAATCTAGTAAGCCTCCTCCAAGTGATACCTTTTCGCCACAGCACTAGCTTCATCCATAGTTATGGAGCCCATTTTATATCGTTATGCTACATGGCCTTTGACTCTACAAGAAGTCTAATCCGCAATTTCACAGATCTTTATTTTTGCTGTTCTTTATTTCTAGCCATTTTTCTCGTCAGAAAAAAAAATGTTTAATCGGCCATACAGCAAATCGGACGAGTTTATGGTATCAGTAGTTACTGTAGATAAACCTGGAATAAATAGATGTAACTAAATACATAAATAAAAAGGAATAAAACTATTTAGTCGGCCTGTAATTGGACTGAAGTATATTCATAATTTTGACAAAATAATTTCACAGAAAGAAAATTAATGCAGTATGTACAATAGCAGAGAAGGGACGCAAGACAATGACGTGTCTTTTCAATCGATTTATTCAACATTTACAGTGAGACGATCCTAAGAGAATTAGAAATCCTATCAGGAAGCATTACTGGCGGCAGGGTTTTCTTTAAACAACGTAAAATACGCAGATGACACAGTGTTTATCGCAGACACAGAAAAGAAACGAAAGGCACGCGTAAACATGATAGTAATGGAAAGCGAGAAGCAGGGAGAAAACATTATTCATCATTTGAAAGACGACAGATGGTTGTCAGTAAAAGAAACACTCCAAAGTGCTAACTATGAATTTCCAAAACCAAGCATGTATAAGAATCTCAATAAGTTGGAATTGCCTCAGCAGAGGACAGAAAATGCGACACCTAAATTAGAAGGCTCATCGGAATAGCATATACAAAATGAATGAAACAGGATTAAATACTTAAATCTGTCACGCATGCGCCATACTTTCTCGCAGACCAGACTACACGAACGACCAAAGCACATCTATCAATATATGACAAATATTAGACCAAAATAAATTAGACCAACCAATTCTAAAAAAAGATACAGAGCCCTAGAAGCTACTATTATACAAAATAAACAACCAACGTTAAATAAAATATGATTCATCCCTGTATCTTGAGGAGACTGTATCTTTAAGTTGATATGATATATTACTTTGCGCCTATATTATATTAGAACAAATTGTATGTATAGATGGTCACACATATTCGAGGATACAGGTCTACTGGGGCAAATAGACAAAACGCTATTGCAGACGCTTGCTTAGGCGCATTTGTGCTTATTCAACATCCACAACGTGGTTTATACTGCAACTATGCTGAGCAAACCTTAGTTATAGTTTCTTGGAAAGAGAGTGTTATCTTGCGTGATCAACAATTTGAACAAGGCCAGCATGCTTGGCCACGATGATTTGTGACTTCGAGCTGGCACAGCTATCGGCAGGTCCCAAGGGTTCCGCCAAAACAATTTCACTCACAAGGCTTTGGTCAACCCATGCTATGTTTTTCAAGGATTTTCTAGGATCGACCATTCCAGTCCGATAACATCTGGAAGTTTCCTTCCGATAACATTTGGAAGTGGGGAGCTTTGAACCCGGGTCTCATGGTCAGAATGTGACCGTTGTAACTTCTCTGCCAGGTGCCCATGAGAATAATATATCAATAAATATATAAATGAATCGCATTCTTTTAAGTACGGCCTCGTTCACAATACCCGTTACATTTGACATCCCTGTAGACTGTTTCAAGCTCCCAGCTTTCTAAAGAAGCCCAGGGGGTAAATAAAGGGATTCTAGCAATCACACAGACACCACATTTGTTCTAGATCATAACAACGACAGTCAAA